CCATACTATTGTCTATGTCTATGATTTTTTTCTTAATCCCTTCACCTTTCTTATCCAACCCTCCAAAGCCCCTCCCCTCTACTGTCTATTTTCTGTATCTATGCATCTATTTTATTTTGTAAAAATATCCATGTTTTGCAGATTAAAAAATGGAAGTACAGAGAGATGCAATAACTTGCCTAAGTCTTACTAAGGTCTAGCACAGCGGTTCTCAACCTGTGGGTCGCGACCCCTTTGGGGTCGAACGACCCTTTCACAGGGGTCGCCTAAGACCATCAGAAAACACATATATAATTATATATTGTTTTTGTGATTAATCACTATACTTTAATTATGTTCAATTTGTACCAATGAAAATACATCCTGCATATCAGATATTTACATTACGATTCATAACAGTTGCAAAATTACAGTTATGAAGTAGCAACAAAAATAATTTTATGGTTGGGGGTCACCACAACATGAGGAACTGTATTAAAGGGTTGCGGCATTAGGAAGGTTGAGAACCACTGGTCTAGTAGTACAAATAGGGATCAGCAATGAGTCAGTCTGGCACTAGAACTTTTGTCTTCAACAGTGCACTTTCCTTCCTTTATGAATCTTGCTTCTTTTACCTAACAACATACTTTTATTTTTTTATTTTTAATAGTTTTTTTTTGGTGGACTCTATATATTGTATCATGTCATCTGCAAGTCATGGCAGATTTACTTTTTTTTTTCCAGCTTAGATTCTTTTAATTTTTTTAAAATATATTTTATTGATTTTTTACAGAGAGGAAGGGAGAGGGATAGAGAGTTAGAAACATCGATGAGAGAGAAACATCGATCAGCTGCCTCCTGCACACTCCCCACTGGGGATGTGCCCGCAACCAAGGTACATGCCCTTGACCGGAATCGAACCTGGGACCCTTGAGTCCTCAGGCCAACACTCTATCCACTGACAACATACTTTTTAAAAAAAGTTTTTAAAATTGATTTTAGAGAGAGGGAGAGGGAGAAACATCTATAGCTGCCTCCTGCATGCCCCTTACTGGGAATTGAACCCACAACCCAGGCATGTACCCTGACAGGAAATTGAACTGGCCACCTCTCCATGCATGTGACAACTTCCAATCAACTGAGCCACACTGGCCAGGGCCGAACAATGTATCTTGCAGACCTATCCATAAAAGCACATACACAGCTCCTTCTAAATGAGCCAGTTTTGTAGACCTTAGGGTGTTTCTAATGTCTGATTTAGGAGTAATGGTACAATTAGTCTTACACATGCCACTTCTCACATGTGAGTACTTACAAGATAAATTTCTGTAAGTGGAAATGCCAAGTAAACACAGTCAACAGATACTGAAATTTAAAATTTTGACATTTTGATAAATTACTTCCTATAGAGATTGAATCAAATCATACTGTTCTACATGTTAGATATGGCATAGTAAAATATTCCTATATAATAAAAGGCTAACATGCAAATTGACCGAATGGCAGAACTACTGGTCGCTATGGCACACACTGACCACCAGGGCAGACGCGCCTAACGCAGGAGCTGCCCCCTGGTGGTCAGTGCGCTCCCACAGGGGCAGTGCCGCTCAGCCAGAAGCTGGGTTCATGGCTGGCGAGCGCAGCAGCAGTGGCGGAGCCTCTCCCACCTCTGTGGCAGTGCTAAGGATGTCTGACTGACGGCTTAGGCCCATTCCCCCCGGGGAGTGGGCCTACACCATCAGACATCCCCCAGGGGCTCCCGTACTGCGAGGGCACAGGCCGGGCTGAGGGACCCCCCTGAGAGCATGAATTTCGTGCACCGGGCCTCTAGTCTACACTAATAAAAGAGAAACATAGTAATTAGCGTACGACCGCTATACTTCCCATTGGCTAATCAGCATATCCTTATGCAAATTAACTGTCAGCCAAGATGGCGGCCGGCAGCCATGCACTGAAGTGAGCAGGGAGGCTTGCTTGCTCCAGTGACGGCGAACTCCAACGTTCCCCGCCTGCCGCTGCCGGCCTCTCAGCTGCAACTCTAAGCAACTATGTACTATGTTGCAAATAAGAAGCTAAACAAAACCCCAGAAACCGGCTTTCATTCAGCCCAGCTTCAGCCAGCTGGACCGCAACATTGTATCGATGTTTTCAGCAGCGAGGCCTCAGAGCTAAAGCTGGCCCAGAATAAAAAAAAAA